CAGACAGTTTTGGGAACCACTGTCTTAAGAAAAAGAAATTGCTCATAGACAACTAGTGCAAAGTGGTTCCTTAAAACAAATACATAAGCCCATCAGAGAGACTTGTTTCTACTTTACAGAACATAGCACGCCAAAACATCGAGCTGCTACTGCTTGATTTTCTTTTATATCTGACCCATGTATGAAAAATGTCAGTACCAGAAAGTTTCTCCTGGAAAAATTCAAAATTTTAAAAAGGTGACAGGATTCAGATACTTGGGCTTTTAAAAGTACGTGTCTGTCCTGTCCCCAGGTCCCCATCATCTCCACAAAAGCGGGGAGCATGATGAAGGAGCCGTATGTGTACAAGTTCCCCAGGAAGAGTGTTACTGTTATGTATCACAAACCTGTACTAATAATAAAAAACTTAAAAACACTAGTGAACTGCTCTGCCAGGCTGGCGGCACACTTAAATAATGCTTCGGTGATGTGCTACCTGACGCATGAATTGCTAGTAAAAGCCAATTAGGGCTTTAAAAAAATCAAAAATTTTAAAATGTGTATGGGACTGCTTAACCTGTATTTAAAAATGTTGCATGAAGACCGCGGGGGAAGATTACAGGTATGCTTTCTCTTCCTAGGCTTTTGTATCTCGAACTGCTTCAATTCCTCCCAAGAACTTTGAAAATATCCGAGTGAAAGCAGGTAAGTCTGCTGAGCTATTGCCACTCAAAGAACATTAGAACTGGAGAAGCTCAGCCGAGCTCTGTGGCGGCCGGCACCGCGAGTGGTTGGGGGACCTGGGGATCCTGAGCCCGTTCAGCGGGGTGGCCCTTTGTTCCCTGGCTTCCTTCTCTGGAGAAGCTGCCCTCTCTGAAAGGTGAGGAGCACGGGGTGAACGCAATGACAAAGCGCTGTCCGGATCGGCAGAGGAGCCAGGCAAAGCTCAGATTGGCTCTTCTTCAGTGATGGCTCTGCAGGGTCCAGGGGAGACTGCAGGTTGACCCCAGCAACAAGGGCTGCGACCTCGCAGGGTGTCACAGGCAGGGAGAAGCCATTTGCTGTCAGCAGCGCTGTGGAACCTTCGGAATCCGAAGACAGCTCCCCTCCTACAGGCTGCCCTGTGTGAGCTGTCGGCTGCCTCCCTTCAGCAACCAGGCCAGCAGCCCGCAGACGCCGCCCTGCGCCGGATTTAATTGTTGATAGCGGGAAATAATGGGTATCTCTAGCGGGTTTTAATATGATCTTAAAATAGGGGGAAAGTTTTCTGTTATGACATTGACACAGAGGCGATGATTTCGAGTAATGCAGGATGATGTGGAGATGCTTTAAGATTAAATAAGAGCTATATAAAGGCTTGTCAGAATGAATTCTAATGTGCCCCAAAACACTTTGCATACTCTTAAATATGCAAAGTGTCTCCTGGCACCCTAGAATTCATTCTGACAAGCCTTTATATAGCTTTTATTTAAACTCCTACTTTATTTTTAGGGAACAGGTACTGGGAGCTGCTCTTTGAAGGGAAGCAACAAAGGGCAGCCGTAGTGGATTGGATTCTCTTGTAGGGGGAAGAAGTAGCACAGTACAAAAGAGCGGTCAAAAGTGGAAGCTTGTTTAATATTGCTCTACCATCACCCTGAAAGGCATAATAATCTGAGTTACACATCTGAACTGATTGGAGTTACAGAATCATATCTCCTTTTGCATTTAACAATATATACAATATAAAATAAATACATTTACACAAACAGAGGTTTGCTGGAACACACAGTATGGTACACATCACAAAAATATACAATCGATTGCTTTACAGATGTGAAGCCATCTACAGCTATAGACATGGTTTTATCATTATTATTAATATTATTGTTATTATTTTTACTACTGGCTATAATGCAACTCCTGGATTATTATAAGCAGTTTAAATTTTTTTGTCCTTTTACGATCTTTGCACATAAGACTGCCATAAAATGTTTTCCCAGGCAGGTAAACAGAGATGCTTAAATAATTAAAATACAATCACCAACACCCATTTCCTCTTCTATAAGAAAAATAGCAGTTTTAAATTTTTTATATCTTTTATGTTATCATTTAAATGCAAAATAGCGGAATAAATACAACAATCTGATCTGATTGGAACACGAGTGTAACTACTAGGGGTCACACGATCATACTGCTTTAAATAAGAACCAACCTAAAAGAAGCAAAATAAAAAGAAATCATACGGCTAAAACATACATCTTTATAACGCTCCAAAACTTCACATTAAGTAAATGGTCTTGCTTGAAACCTGAAAAAATTTCCCTCGGGTGAGGATTAAGATGGGTATTTACCCTAAAGCCATTCTGTTAGACCTACGTTAAGTTTTTTCTCCTATTTGTGAGATATTTGTTCTTCTGCGATGTTGATGTCACTTCAACCGAAAGCTAAAAATTGCATCTCATTCTTTTAACAGGTCTCCATCTCATGTTTGTTTGAGATGTCTCCATCTCAAGTACCATGTACTTCAATGTGATACAGTGGGGATGACGCATATACTATAGATATTGTAATTATATATAGTGTAATTAAATAGTAGCAACTTAAACCCTGCACAAACTTTCTGGAAAATAACCTTTTTTAAACACTTACATATATAAATAATCTTATAGAATCAGCACCTTTTATTTTTTTTTTCCCAGGAGTTGTATTTTCTGTTGTTATTTTTAAAGGGATGTGCCAATTTCTGAACTCCTATCACAGCTATAAATTTCAAGTTATTGACCATCTGAATGAATTGCTAATGATTTATCTAGAATCACACTACAGTCACTTCTCTACTGAGAAACCACAATCTACAATATAGTCCCATATAGCTAATGATAGATACACAGTATTCCTAGCACTGGGTTGAAACTCCAACCCAAGGTATTTTGTTTAAAGCACACAAAGTAGCAATAGTTTTGGAAACAGAGTCCGCACCAAAAAGTTTTGCAACAACACAAAGCGAGTTAATAACAACATCTGAGAGATGATTGAGTGAAAGCCGTATGTACAGCATTTAAAAATTAGACTTATCTATATTCTTGAAATATTCAAAATTTTATTTCTAAGCTATACATTGGTATTCTATAATAAACCATTAGAGAAATTATTCCTTGTTTTGAAAATATTATTATGACTTTGATGTGTATCTGTTCATAATGAATACTTGTTTGGAGTCTCAATGTCTTAGTTATTATTAGGAAGAACCTTATTACCGGTAAGGAATAGAATATACTACTGTAGTCTCCTGAGGAATTGTACATCCAATATTGTCTCTAATTCTACCCTGTGTCTAAAAGCACACACCACAAGAATCCAAACACCACAAGAACAAGACAACAGTCTTTGAATGCAACATAAACTTCAGAAAAGCACAGCAAACATGAAACATTGAAGAGCTGAACTACATTTCTTTTGTTTGTTAGGATTACAATTTTAATTACATCTGTGTACATAGAATAACGACTGTTCACACAGTACAGGGAGCAGCTACTAACACTGGTCCATTGGTATAGCGTTGGATGGAGGTTACTGTTTATTGGTTATTTGGCGACTGTAGATTTCGGGGTTATCTAACTGATTTATTCATTAGATTACACCTCTAAACAGTCTGGACCCTGACTGCCTCTCATGCCGTAACAATATTCGTTTGAAAGCACATACATTGGCTTAGCTCTTGGTAAAAACTGCAGATTAATTGAAACAAACATTCCTAAATGAATGAACTCGTATGGATCAGATTTTAGAATTTGGTCAGGCATCTGCTGTCTTTCATGATTTTTTTTTTTTTTTAATTTCTGACATTTGCCTTATTGCCTATTAAGTGAATACTGGCTCACAGCTCCTTCTGAGACAAGGTCCGGAACTCTGCGGACGGGCAGCATCTCTTTCCTACCACCAGGGCAGCTAGAAGGCATATGGCGGCCACCCCTCAGGCACAGAGGCGCATGCGCGACCACACTGCGGCTTCGCAACCCTCCTGCAGAGCAGACACTGGTGACCGCCCCCAGCCGCTGCAGGTGTAATCTAATCCTTGGTGTCAGTGGTGTAGGTAAACTGGAGCTCATGTTAAGAAATCGATGTTTGGGACCAGACTGGCACACAACATAAATTGCATCCGTTATAATATGCACCTTCCCTTCAACTATTGCTTAAGTTAAATTCTCATATTAATAAATGGCTGAAAAGTGGTAAAGCTGGTACAAAAAAATCTCCATTTGTAAGAAGAAACAAAACATTTTTTTTTTAAAAATCTTCCTTCAGGATTCATTTGTCCTTCAGTATTGTTCATAATTGTTCAAAGCCAGCACAAAATTGCAGTATTCTTATTTCTCTTTAGTATTGCATGAATGAATAAAGCTTAAACTATTCCCTGAAAAAGTTACATAGTAGCTAAACTAACAAATACCTGGAAGACTTGAAAAAACAATTAAGGAATCAAATGGCTGTAACTGATCTAGATGGAAAAGCAATGATAAGAAGCAGCCGATGCAACGTTGCTTAAGTTGTCTAATTAGAGGCTGCTCCCGTGAAATCTAATACTGCACTCAGTCAATTCGCTTCTGTCGCACTGTACTTTTAGGTACGTCGCCTCTCGCTTTGATTCCTTAGTCACTGGGGACGTTATGGTTCACAATAAGTTCACTGGTATCATACTGTGGATCTCTATCCTTTGGCAGGGCTGGCTTCCATCTTGCTTCACTTAGAGACCTCTTTTAAAAGTTCCGCAGCAGAAGGAAGGATGGAAGGGAAAGGAAAGGAAAGGAAAGGGAAAAAGAAAGAAATGGGAAGATGAAAGGAAAGGGAGATGGGGAAAAAAAGAAAAGGAACGGAAGGGAAAAGAAAAGGAAATCAGGGAGAGGAGAGGTGAAAGGAAAGAACATTCTCTTGCAATTTAGGATTATTTAAATTTTAGAATAAAGGGGGAGGAAAAAGAAGTGGAAGGAAATGGGGGAGAAGGAAGGAAGGAAGGAAGGAAGGGAGGAAGGAAGGAAGGAAGGAAGGAAGGGAGGAAGGAAGGAAGGAAGGAAGGAAGGAAGGAAGGAAGGAAGGAAAGAAGAAAGGAAGGCAGCCAGAAACCAGTAATTAAGGAAGTCAAACAATGAGGGTGAGGGGAAAAAAACAGAAAGAAAGAAAATAAAAATGAAATAAAAGGAAGGGAGTCAGGAGAAAAGGGAGATAGGAAGATGAGGGAGAAAAAACAAAAGAGAGACGAGAGTAGCCAGAAATTTATCAGGAACATACGGAGGAATCTGAAAGCTGCTTCACAGTCTCGCTGCTAAAATATCCGTGCAGTCTCTGCTGACAGTTGATGTTCTTAACTAAATTCTAAGTTTCTTTGCCATCACTCTTGGGTTGATTTTCCCTTTCTCCACGTGCACAATGGGAAGGCCCAGGAAGCTTTTAGTCAGACCTTGGCCTCCAGCATTTCCAAAAAAAGTTTGTGCATGGGAACTTTGCCTTCGAGTTTGACGTTGTAGAAGTGCTGCACCGCCTTGGTGGAGGTCTGCCTGAGCAGCGGCAGCGTCATGAGCATCTTGCCTGCCCGGCGCGGGTCTTCCATGTGCTGGCCCGCCTCGTAATCCTGCAGGGCCTCGTGCAGGACGTCCTGCAGCTTCTGCACTGCTTCCACGTCCTCTATGTGCATGGAGTCTGCGTGACAAAGCAAAACACACACGACGTCACCTTAGGAAGGGTACTCCCCGCCCCGGGAACTCCCCGTTACACATGCTGTGCAGATAACACAGCCAGACAAGGGTCTAACACAAAAAGAAAACTACAAACCAACACCCCGAGGAATAACAAAGGAAAACCTTCTAGACCAAATATGGCAAATCGTATTCTTGAGCTTCCTTCAGTTCAAAGCTGTGCTTTGTTCACAGATGCACATTTCTCAAACCTCTATATTTTTTCTAAATTTCACTACAGTAATTTCTAATTCTAGGTTTGGACAGGGGAGTTATTATGAAAGATCTACTACTTTCCTCCTCAGACTGAGGAAGCGAACAGGTGCTCTTAGCAGATTACAATCTTGGCTATCTTACTCACTGCCTTTATTCACACCGCCATCCATTCCACAAACGTTCCTGAAGGCCATGTATTAACAGTATTATTCTAAGCGCTATCTGAGGTGTCTAAGATCCTGATCTTCCCTGCAAAACGCCCCTATGTCCCAAAGGGAAAAAAGTTGATTAAGATCTTAATGAACAATTCTACATGAATATACTGAATTTAGCACTATATCAAAACACAATAAATTCTTTATCCTTTTAGAATTTTAAGGACAAGTAACAGTTCATTAAAAGCCTCCTTATATCCCCTATTTCTTCCTGCTTAGAAACAAAGTGTCATTAGATTACTGAGTTGGGAAATACATTTTCACATTTGTGAAGGTGAACTGTGCCCCTGAAAAACTAATTTGAAAATCAAATTCAATTGAGCAAGGAAAGGGTTAACAAGGTTGCCGCAATTATTCTTGTGAGAAATGTGAGATGTGGGGAAAAAATAAAAGTTACAGCTCTAGCACTAAAACAGACACTTAATTATATACAAGTTTGAATCATTTAGCACGTTTTATTGATTCTGATGACAGTTTATCTGTTAATTACACATAATGGAGTCTTTGGGGGATTCTTCATGTTTAATAATTCTAGTTCTCTGAGATCGCTGAGCTCTAAGATATACAGAGTTAGCCCAATTTTCCCTATAACTCAAATATGAATCTCATGAACAAAATGGAGAAAAGTAGTTTAAACATTAAGGGGCTAAATATGTAAAAAACAAATGGGCCAAAATATTTAAAGATAGCTGGATATAACCAGGGACATGTTTTTAAACATCTGTGTGTTTTGTTTATTGATTTTTCTTTTGATGCATTTCTTTAAAACAATTTCCCTCATCTGGAACATTACGCTTAGAAGTCTCTACTGCTCAAAACTCAATTCCTTCTCAGTAACCCTGAAACATGGAGTTCCTGCAAGTGGGGCTGGTGACTGAGCAGGTCTCAGAACGGCACCCGGGTGCACCTAGACCTTCTGTGTGGACCGTTTCTGTCCGGGCGCCTTCCTGTCTGATTCCTTCCCCCACCTCCTACAGGGTCTCATCTTAGAAACAAGCGCCCCAGCGTTGGTAATGTCAGCAATGGAAACAGCCATGGACACGGTGGCCACATGCCCTGATATGTTTTTCTTTCTCTTGGAGAAATGCAGCTGGGACAGGGGCAGCCCTAATGTGAGTCTCTAGGTGACAACTATCCTAAAACCTTGTAACAGGGAGTAGAGATGAGGTAGACTCATCCAATTTGCTTCTCTAAAGACAACATGAAGTAAAACAAGATAACTATTTTCCACCTAAACCCGGAGAAAGAATAAAATAATAAATGTACCATCCATTGAGCACCCATTTTGGGAAAATTGAGCTTCTCGTCTCCAAATGGCCCCACTGACTTAGGTGGCGCTGTATTAAGTATAGTAGTCAGATACAAAGTTGCTTTTCATGAAGTAAACTGAGCTGGTGGACCGTATAACAGTGAGCACAGCTTTTCCTTTTCGTAAAAAATAAGATGAAGTTGACCCCGTGCTCATTTCATGGAAATTTCCATCTCCATCGGCAACGTTCTCTATGGGCTCCTAATGAAGACATTTCCAGTTGTGTAGACAGCGTTCTCCCTTACAGGAGACAGAACTCATTGTTAGCAATGTCTTCTTCAGATATCCCTTATCTATCTCCAATTCCTTCCTTGGTCCTGCTTGGGAACAAGTGAGGATACACTGCCTTTCTCCTTGTGGTGCACCTTCCAACTCTTGGAAGTCAGCTACAGGCGTGCCAGCCCCGGCCCTAAGCTGTTCTTTCCCACTACTCTTGCCCGGCAGGAGATATATTAGAGGATGTCACAGGAAATGAGGCGAGAACAAATAGCAGAGAGATATGCTCACAAACAGCAATTAAGACTTCAAACTATTCTTTAAAGGCTGTGATTTAGCTTGAGAGATTTAAAAATGATTTAATCAAATTACTATGATAATTTAACTTCCCATTTACAGAAAAGATTCTAACTCATTTTAGCTTTACCCATTCTCGGATCTGCTAATACTTTAAATGCAAACTCACTAAATCTGAACTATTTAATTAGACTATGATTCAGCCGGCAGACCGCTGAAGAAAATATTAATCTCCATTAGGGATCCCAGTTCAAGTTTGGGCTGTATGGCTTCAATTCATTTTGTTCTTTGGGCTAAATTTCCATGTTGATGCCAAGTTCAACAAAACTGGCATTAATTGATGTAATTATTTAGCTTTGGTTGTTACTGTTGGTTTCTTTTTAACTACGCTTCAAAGGAAACTAGCAATATTTGTGTTAATAGAAACCAGCTAAGCTTCATAATGGAGATCATCGGTTTATGAACTACCTAGACAGGGTTCGGCTGCAGATTAAAGACCCTGGCAAGGGTGTGAAGAATCTGAACACCTGGGCCCCAACCCAGACCTATTAAATCAAAATATTGGGGCTGGATCCAGGATACGAGTATTTTAAAAATATCTAGGCAATTCAGCCAAGCTAAGGTTGAGAGCTACTAAACTAGACAATAAAACAAACAAATGCTATTTAAAAAGACACAAGGCTTCAAAAAGATAAGTGGAGGGTAAATTTTACATATACTGGCATCCACATATTGGTCTTCAACATCTAATCATAAAATAGAGCCTTTCCACACCTTTCCATATTTTAATCTAATGAACAGAATCATGGGAATATGTTTAGTCTGGGAAGAAAGCTAAAATCCTTTCCACTTATAGGTGCAAAAGTCAGTGAGTCTTGGAGCCAGTGAAAAGAAGATACTTTAACACCTTTTACACCTGGAATAAAGCACTGCCTTGCTCCACGATGAGAATATTAACTATTGCAGGCATATGCGTAGCTACTCCAGAATGCCCCCGTCCTATCTGGAAATTGTCTTCAGCGCCTGGAGCTCATTCTTGGCAATATTTTCTTGACGGTGGCAAATCTTTTAGGATGGCATTGAGTGTCAGAATACACAGCGTGTCTTCGGGGCCATGTCTAGTATGTAACGGACACCAGCATTCAGAGCTCCCTGTGCTGTGGAACACAGGCGCTGGCTCTTTCCTCCAGGAAGAAGAGAAGCCAGGGTGGGGCCACTAGGACCTCCACAGTCAGCACAGGAAGGTAGAAGGGACAGGGAAGGGAGCATAGGTCCCTTTTCTAAAACAGAAGGATGCAGTGGTGGTTTTACCCCTCTCCACACTGCACATTAAAGAGAAACAACAAGGAAACTAGATGGCAGCACTAAACACTTATGAAATAATTTCAGTTTTGAAAAGGATTATACTTGCAGTTGATTGAAATCCATTGAATGTCTGAAAGACATTAAAAAGAGAGGGCACTAATTATTTTATTCTGAAAAGTGGTAAATATGGAGAGGAAATCAAGCATTTATACTACTTTTCTTATATCACTGGTAACCAAACAACAAATAAGAGAAATATTACTTTATAAATATCTTACATACTCAATCAAAAAGAGACAAAATTACAAATTGCCACTTTGTAATCTCAGTGAATCATGACTTTAGGGAATGACTATCCACAGCTGCTAACATCTCCAAAAGAGACACAGCCAGGGAGGCTGTGTCCCCAAGGAGCAGCACGCCCCCTGCAGGTGTTGTGGAGACAGGCCCTGGGTCTGATCTTCAGATCCAAGCACCAGTCTGTACAAAATGGAAAGGTGCTCAACATGGGGACCTGCAGCCTTCAGAGGGGATTTCTGAGGTACATTGAAAAAGTATCACTGATTGGCTTTCCTTACATATTCTCTGTACTAGGCTAAAAATTAGCCCCCAAAATGTCTGGGTCCTAACTCTGGAAATGCACATGCATGATAGCTTACAGGTCAGGATGACCTCTACAGTCATGGTTCTTGATGCAGGAGATGGATCTAGATCATCCAGGTGGGCACTCAGTGAAAGAAGAAGCCAGAGGAAGAAAGTGATGATACTGCTAAGACAAGAGCTCCTTCGCGGGCTTCAAAGATGGTAGAGATGCATGAGTCAAGGGATGCAAAGAACGTGACCCTAGAAGCAGAGAGGACCAGATTCCAGAGGGACCCCACCCTGTCCACTCCTTGCCTCACACCCATGAAACTGACCATGGCCTCGTGCCCTCCAGCAATGTAATGCTGCTATTTAAGACCATCAACAAGTAGTGATTTTCAAAGAGTAGCATAGTAAGCCGATAAACACAGTAAGTCACTCATTCTTCGTGGGGACTTTTTCTCATTAAAATGGTGAAACGATGGAGACAAACGGCATGGGACACTTCCAATGGGAAGGTCTCCTCAAGAAAGCAGTGCATCAGAAATAAATCAGACGCAGAAGGTTAAATGTTGCACAGCTTGTCCTATATGAAAACCTCAAGGTGTAACTAGAGGGCAAAATAAAAGATGAATGACAAACGAGCAGACAGGAGAGGGGCAGATGGGAGCGAGAGGATAAGGAGAAGTGAAAGGATTGGATGTGCTGTACATGTACCAATGCTCCATGATGAATTCATGTGTTATGGACCTCAGGCATATGAACACCAAGGCGGGGGAGGCAGGGGGCACCGTGAGGGCTCTGACAAGAAGCAACAGCACTGCA